CACACACACATTGGTGACTTACACACGACACAGTCACTTGTTACACTACAAATAAACCTACTTCTTATCAGCTCTCTTTTCTTTCTGGTGACTAGCCTGGCTTATCAGTGGTGGGTGGTGTCAAGGAGGCTCCTGTTCTGTATTCATGCGTTACTAAAAAGTAAATAACTAAGTTAGAGCAAGGGTTTAACGCCCCTTTCAACACTATTAGGCTGTTTAAGAGGCGGGACCCCCGAATTTATAGTCTGACTCCGATAGGACCGAGCCAAACGGGTGAGGAGTCTTGAAAACTCCCACAAATTTTAACACCAGTTCAGAAACGCTCGTTCGGGGATTAGAACCAAGGCAGTCTGCTCTGTAGTCCACCATGGTACGAACTGATCTAACGGAGCGCCCGAGGATTACTGTGGTTCTAGAACAATATTATTATGATTAATAAGTATAGAAAGCTGTAGAAAGCATTATTGTAGGTCTAATTGAAAAGGTGTCTACTACACTGTACGAGAGCATGTCATAAGTTATTAAGGTATAAGTATAAGGAGAAAGAGACTAGAATCTTTAACTAACAGATTCTGAAAGAGGCACAAACTTTTCGAGAAAAAAAAATCATAATTATTTTTCACTTGCATGAGAACCATATAGTTCTCCAGTTACATTGTTCATGTAGACCTACATGTTTCTTGAAAATTTAACGCAACCGATTTTCCGCTAGATCTAGTATTCACAATTTTTTTTCAATAAATAAAGTGAAATTAGGTATGTCAATTGCCCGCCTCTGAACAATAATTTACAGGATAAGACTGCGTTTTCCTTCAGACTAACACTGTGCAGAACTTTGAAAAGAAAAAGTGGCACCGCATAATAATTTGGTATCCCTTGCAAGAGAAGACTCGTGAATTACATTGGAAGTCCCTTAGGTAACCTGCCCATTCCTATAATTAACTGTTTTAGAGTATCGAGCAAAATGCTTTGGGGTTTTTTTTACACTACATGTTCATGTTTTTAGTCTTTGTCTAATGCTTGGTATCCATTTGCTGCTGTAAGGTGAAGCAACGTGATCTGGATAAATATACTTTTTTCTTCAACTCACTTGACTTATTTTTTGTTTGTTTGTCTGTTTGTTGTTTGCTAGTGTTGTTTGGTTTTTTTCGTTGGGGGGGGATTGTTTGTTTTGGGGGGTTTTTTATGCTGTTGCACTGATTTTCAGTTTTAATTTTTTTCCACTTCTACTTCTACCTCTATCTTCCTTTTGTCAGGACGAGAACAAGCCTGCTTACCTAGAGAAGGCCAAGAAACAGCTTGATGCTTTTGAAGCTTACCTGGGAGACAAGAAGTTCTTCGCCGGCGACAAGGTAATATCTCACTCCTTCTCCTCCTCCTCCTCCTCCTCCTCCTC